ATAACTACATCCTTCTAAAGAGCTTTTTCTTATAAAATATTATATATTTCCAAAATATGAAACTCCTCTAAGGCGATTTGTTTTTGTTTGGGGATGTAGATAGCTTTTTTAGATGTCGTGAATAATTGATACGAGTAACTATAAATGTCTTGCATCTTTAGAGAGTGTTGATCTAGAAATTTGGTATCCTAGAATTCCGCCGAATTCGCACCAATCTTCAAGAATAAAAGGGATCGACAAGACCTGCAAAATAGAATAACATTAAAGACTGGTGTGACTCTTGTCACACAGGCTCCGATGCTTAGGTTAAAATCAGAGTAGTTGAGTATAAGTGTAGAGTGGTGTGAGTATAGATTTGTCGCCCCCCAACTTACTTCCCTATTTATGATACATCTAGTAAATCTATCTCCTTTTGAATATAGGATATCTCCTCAAAATATCTTCTCTTTTGAATCTAGAGGGAATTGAGATTTTCTCATCCATAACATATTAGTAATGTTTGTTTTGTAGAAATATTTATAAGAATGTTTGAGAATACTTAAATAGCTAGGTTCATCGTTTAAAAAAAGAATAAAATAAAATAACTGTGTTTATTCTGCACATTTTTACATAGGAATATATTAAAATTACGTATTGTTCTAACAATGCCCTTATCAATCTTGGTATAATTTATAGGTTAACGTAAATATAATTTTAATTCATATAAAAAAAATTATTTTTTTTAATAAAGGATCTTCATTAAAGGCATCTAGCCAGCCACGTGGACAACATTGTGAGATACATCAAGCTCTACCTTCTTAAGAAGCCAGAGGGGGAAATCAAAAACCCAAAGTATGGGAGAAGCCAAGCGAAGAGAGTTTTTTGCGATCAAGTGAGCTAGTATTATATTTTTACATTTTAATATTTATCAAAATTATAAATCTAAATTCTCGGACAAAATTTCCATATTTTCCGGGCGAAAATTCACGGGCGAAACAAGTCGAGATGCTTATTGTATACATCTCGGGCGAGAATACTTCTAATTTCGCCCGAGAATCATAAAAAAATTCTCAAACACACATCCACCCCTACATGTTGTTCTCAAAGGAAAAGACAAAAAAAAAATGATGCACTCTACGTTTCCACACAAAAAAAAAACAAATAAAAAGGTAGAGCTGCAAATGTGCGAGTTTATACAGAAAACATAACATCTTTTCTAAAGGAAATATCACCTACCTCGTTGGTATAGAAATTTTATTCAACCACGAACTAGGTGCAGATGGAATATTGACTTTGAATGTACAATATTCTTTTTGTTGTCTGAGAGCTGAGTACAAAATGCACCCACATGAGTGGATATATAGAATCCAAATGTGCCGTGCGGCCAATTTTTGTTCTCTTCCCTATCTGGGAAGCTGGGTCGGAACTTACCTGACAAGGAATTTCGCTACCTTAGGACCGTTATACTTACAGTCGCCGTTCACCGAGGCTTCGGTCGTAAGAACACTAAAATAAGATAAAGGAAGACACGATTCTCCTCACCTAAATAAGATTGAAGAACTAAGATGTTGAGCTCATGATGTATGTTATCAAAACGCTTTACAATATCTGACTTAATGAGTTTATCAACCAGACCCCGACACCCTTGCTTCTTTGAAAGTGTTTGAGTGAAGGCAGCATAACTGTCGAATGAGCAAGTAGGGAGCGGCAACTAAAGAGGTAGCGAGACTGTCCAGATGAAAAGTAAAAACTTTCCTAGGTATGATTTGCTGAACAATAAATGTATGAGAGAGTTAGGTGTTTGCATTAATTAAAAAAACTTCAATTCTCGGGCGAGACAATTACATTTCACGGCTGTAAATTTAAGGTAAGTCAACTTTATTTCTCGCACAATTCTCGCCCATCAACAACCTTATGTTGTTATTTTTCATAAATTTTGGTCGAGAATATGCCAATCTCGTTTAAGAATTTACGTTGTAACGAAGGGTAATTGGGTACATTTACCTCTATTGACAAGTGAGAAATTTTTTTTTGATCATTTAAAACAAATTTTAAAAGGTAGGTTATTTGAACAAAGTAAAACCTAGGACAATCATTCGAGCCAATTTTGCGGGAGTCTTCAAACTTATTCTTCTGATTCTCATATATTGTTAGCAAACAATATTTCATTTTCTAAAGAAGTGAAAATCAAAACACGATTGATAACCTAATCTACAGTTTAATAGTATTTACGATTTGGGATTTGTAGTTCAACTAGAATTTCTTTACGATGCAACTTGTATGAACAAATTGGTTCACATTTCTTCTTGTTCATTCTGCTGCATACATTTCTCAATTTTTGGTAATTCATGACTGAAAGTAGACGAAAATCCATTATTTTTCAAAAGAAACCGATTACCAACCCACAACATAATTTTCTTTCACTAAATCATCCTCTAGAAGTTCCATTAATCATACCAAATTCACCGCAATCGGACTTCTCACATGGCGCTTCCCATCCGACCATGCCAGCGACCCAAATACATAGCCTCGACGCTTGCCCTTTCCCACTCTCCGCACCACAACTTTGAAAGCCTTCTCTTCATCAATTCGAGTAAACTTCAATTCATTTGGCTCAACAGAAACTGAAACCCCTGGAGGAACCTTGACCCGAGCCACATACGTGCCTGCGCTTCCCACGTTCTTAACCCTTCTTCTGATTGTCACAGGTCCCGATTTCAGATTGGGTATGGAGATTGATGGGTAGTTGAAATCTGTTAATTTGAACGACTGCGAACAAACGAAAGATGTATTGGAGAATTTCCTGATCTGGGTTTGGTTGTAGCCTCGAGCACATAAGAAGTTCAAGTAGTCGTTGGTGGAGAGGTCGTAAACAAGGCCAGGGTTCACTGCTCTGCTTGGACGGACATGTCCTGCACCGTATGCTAATGGGTTTGCCTTGTGCTTGATTGTGTTCATTATAGGATGAAAATTATTGGCTCTGGTTTCAGCTGTGACAGGAAATTGGAAGAGAATCATTATAACAGAAATGTTTCAAATGTTTCACTGTTCTGTTTGAATGTACCTGTGGTCATGATTGCAGATTTGATAGCTGCAGGACTCCATTTTGGATAAAGGGTCTTGAGAAGGCCAACGATTCCAGAAATGTGGGGGCAGGACATGGAAGTGCCAGATACTACATTATATGGGATTCGACGGTTATCGAACGATGAGCCACTTGGTGGTGCATCCTCGGAAAAGGCTGCAATTATATTGACACCTGGTGCTGTTATATCAGGCTGAACACAAAAGTAGAACACAACGTATGCGTTAAGGATCCCACGTCAAAAAGATTAAGAAACTTGCAGGGACTACTTTTAACAGAGTATACGGAGGCGAAAAGGAGATAAGCAAGCGAACCTTGAGTATTGACTCCTCGATTGTATTGGGACCTCTTGATGAGAATGAAGCCATGAGTGGTGCTGGTTTGATTCCGAGCTCAGTCCTTACGTGAGTCATGTAAGCCATTGGATTTCTGAGTAAAGTACAGTATGTGACTTTTGAGTTTTAAAAGAAACAAATATTGCTAAGAACTATATAAATTGATGGGAGTAGATGGAGGAATTACTTGGTAGATTTGATGTATTGGAAGACTAATTCACCATCAGCATAGCTCACATGGGAAGCAGGGAGCAAATGTGCATCAGCCAAAAGTTCATCCCCATTTTCCTGAGCGTTAGCAAGAATCATCCCCACAGCACCTGCTTGAGCAGCCACATGGCCCTTGTCCACTCTCCCATTTTCCCCTCGAAGGCAAACTATAATCTTCCCTTTTACCTTTTTGGGATCAAGAGACCCCTCATCACAGATTTGGCTGCAATCATACATTAAACTTTGAAGTTTGCTCAATATCATGTGACTGGTATCACTGGATAATGGTGAAAAATGAAAGTGTACTCACGCCTCGTAAGCAGAGACATTTTTGGCTTTCGCATCTACAGCACTGATCAACGGATAGAACTTCTGAGCTGGCAATATTTTGTCTGACAGACTTGTACCCTAGTATTGACAATTGAAGTGTTAAAGGATCCCACGTCGAAAAGATCATAGGATTTAACAAGGTTTATATATACATCAGCTACTCCTCTTATTACCTTGATATGTTTCCTGTTTCCAAGAGCCACATAGCTGGTAAAAAGCCGGTTGATTGTGCTAGCTCCCACAGTTACAAGCCAGGGTGCCAAATTTTGTACAGTCCCTGGAGCTGGTCCAGAGTTTCCAGCAGAGCAAACAACAATGACACCATTTTGAACTGCATGGAAGGCACCTATCGCCGTTACATCGTCGGAGAAATCTTTCGAGTCTCCACCGAGTGAAACCGAGAGAACATCAACTCCATCGCTAATAGCAGCCTCAATGGCAGCTAAGATGTCCGCATCAAAACACTCCCCACCAGAGAACACTTGAGGCCAGCAAACCTTATAGGCAACCACACGAGCTCTGGGGGAACCACCTTTTGCAGTTCCGTTACCATTCCCAAAAACGCTCGCTCCAGAAACGAAATTGCCTCCAGCAGTGGATAGAGTGTGTGTTCCATGGCCATCATGGTCCCTTGCCGTTTCATAGCTAGCATTGAGGGGCCCTGCATAGGCTGCATAGCCTTTGTTGAAATACCTCGCCCCAATCAGCTTCCTGCATTTGAAGTTTCTAATTTACAACTTCTGATGTAAAGGAAATAAAGAGAGACAATGAAGCGGGATTGGTGTAGTGCACCTGTTGCAGTGAAATTTGGAGCCACCCTCACAACTTCCTCTCCACCTTGATGGGATAGGTCCATATCCTTTGTCACTGAAGCTCTTTGATTCTGGCCAAACGCCTAATTACAAGAAGGGGATTCATAAATCATTACCCAAATTGCAGAATCTTCAAACACTTAGAAAGGAAACAGGACGAACCTGTGTCAAGATTGCCAATGATTGTGGATTCACCAAAACTTGCAAGATTCCAAATAGAGTTCGAAGGAATTCCACCATCATGCTCTAGTCCAAGAAAGTTCCATGAACTTGTTGTGTGCAGTTTTCTTGCCTTGTTCTCATGGACGGATGCTACAGCGGGATTTTCTGCCATGATATATGTAAGTCATATTTTAAATACCAACAAAAAGGGATTAACTAAACAAATAACTTATCCTTTAGATATTAAAATGAATTGGATGAATTGTTTTACTTGCTAGATCTTCTGCAACTTTCTCCTCAATCATGGCTGCAAAGCCATCGATATGTCTGTTGTAGGAGTAGAAAATTGCTTCCTTGGCTGCCTCATTGCTGTACTTGGAAACAAAACATAGAGTGAGGATTAAACAAATCAATCCAACAGAAACCTGGTTAGTTCCATGATTTGAACTAGAAGCTCAACCTTCCCAACAGAGAGCCAAGTAAATTGTAGTGAGATTCCGTTGCGAGTTCAAGATCGACTGCAGACGGACTCGACCCGTGTGAATGTGATCCCAAATAAACAATGTAAGACTGTAAGAGATGAAAAAGAATGTGAGTGATCATGTGATGCAGAATCATATATAGACATTCAAAATATTGCCATATTTTTTCACTGGCTTGCCTTCTTGGTGGCAATGGTGGATGTTTGCAATGCAGCAAAGAGAAAGAACAGAAGCAATGAAGATAGATTGAAACTGAAAGCCTCCATGGCTTTTACTTGACTCTTATGAATGAAACTCCCTCTATTCTTTTCAGCTTTATACAAGTTTTGGCTCAAAATTGGTTGTTCATTTTATCTATAGAATGTGTTGAATGATTCTTCCATTTCAAAGAGAAGAAAGAAGATCAGGAGGCAAAAATGGTGGGAAATCTTGGTCTGATAGAGAAGTTATGGGCTGATTATGATAATTATGGAAAGGAAATGAAAACCATTTAACAGCATTTAGTGCACCAAATGGGTGGAATCCTTAGCAGTGATATCAGTTCAGATTTGGGAAGGAAAGAAGATGAAATGGTAATTTCTCTCCTCTTTTATCTTTGCCCATTGCACTTTCCAAAAACAGGTATTTTTTCTTGCAATGCTTTTGCCTTTTAAGCTTAGGAATCTCTATTTGCCTTTGAAGTTTGAACTTGCACAAAAACCAACCCATTTTCTTCATTGCAGAAATTAGGGGAAGAAAATAACAATGCAAGTATCTGGATAATGTATTTTTAGAAACTAACCATTTTTTGTCGCCACCGGAGATTAATGACGTGGCTTCGAGTATGTGTATTATCCTGTTAATGTGATCATGTGTTCGAGCACGTAGGTCAATGATTAATATAGTAAAGATCGACTTTTTGAATGTTCAAAAATTAAAATAGACATTAAACTTGAAAGTTCAGAAATCAAAACCGACATTTTGAAGTTGCGGAATTAGAAAGAGGAAGTTGAGGAGTTTAGAGTATAACTTTTTTTTTTTTGGCATAAAGTTTGGAAATACTCTTGATTACTGTTTAAATAAGAAAGTTTCATTATCTTGTATTTGTGAATGAAAATGATTATTGTTCTTAAATGCATTAAATCATTTACAGCTGTATCAGTTTTAAAAGTTTCTTTCTTAATAATTGAGTAATTTATTGATTTAATGAGTGTTATCTTTAAGGTAACTTTCCATGGTTTTATTAGTTTAAATGTATTTTTGGTAAGTATTTTTAAGATTAACTAAAAATAAATTCTAGCTCGAGGACAATAGGGCAAAAAATCTACGTTTCTTTTGCAACTTAAGAAAGAAATGAAAAATTGTACTAAAATTTAAAAGAAAAAAAGGAAAAAAAAATTAAAGATATATGCCACTTCAAGAAAGTTTTTTTGTTTTTTTTTTTTTTAACTTGAGTGACTGAGCCTAGCTCAACTGATTAAAGTATCTTTCTTGGTAAAAAAGTCATGAATTCGAATCTCTACTCTTAGATGTTGTACTCAAAGAAAAAAAAATCCATAGCAATACGACCATAGCTCAACTAAGAGGTATATCTACCCTCATTCGTGGTACTAAGAAAAACCCTTTAAAAGCGAAAATAAAAAAATAGTTCCTCTCTATTCATTTTTAAATTTTAATAATACTAGTAAATAACACGTGCGATGCATATGAAATTGATCATTAGTGAGAAAAAAATTTCTAAAAAAATTCTCCTACAATTCAATTTGATGAAATTGAGAGGGATAAAATTTGAATTTTTTTTCCATAATTTTGTAAATTCAGGGTATTGCACATTCATAATTTAGAAGCATCATATGATCGCTTTCTAAAGATAAATAACTTGATTCCATCTCGTACGGTCTGAACTGAATGTAATTCTCTCCAATTTCTCCCAATAAGAACAATGATAATTTTCAAGAAAACCAGTAGTTGCCATCAACTTCCAATTAAGTCTGAGGTTTTCGTCTACCTTTAAACTCCTCTCTCTTCCATATGAATTGCCCTATTGATCACACATATGCATGTTGTCATTGTTGGTTGTAAAAGCAGGAGAAGAAAATCCCCCTATACCTTCACATCAACTGGTGATTTTTCAGTCCATTCTATTCACCTCTTGATTTTTTTCCTTTGTTGCCAACAGGAAAGAGAGGAGAAATCTTTATATATGGAAGTAGAAGGATGAGGAAGTTTAAGCTTTTCAATCCTTCCATCAATTTTCACACTAAATTAATAGGTTAATGCTTAAATATTTAAAATTAAATCATTCATGCGTAACCTTAATTCTTGTTTATTAAAATGATTCTTTTCAATTAGTAGAGGTAAAAAGAAAAACTATATTCAAAGGACAAAATTGCCGTCAAAAGAAAGAGTTATAATGAAAGGTAAATTTGACCTAAACAATCTATCCTCAGGTACTTTTTATATATACGATGGATTGTATTACATTACAAATTATGAAGAGAGATTCTCAAAAAAAAAATGTCAAACTTGTTTTTTTTCTTTAATATATAACATTATAAATAGAAATGAAGATTTGAATGTTTAATCCACGAGGAAAATTAAAATTAATGTTTAACCACTTGAAATTGGACTCGGCCTTTCCCCTACACTCAGTCATGGATAAGCATTTGGGTTTCTCTTTTCGTAATTTATGACCTGTGTTGTTTATGGTAAATATTAGTGGCTGATTTGATGACTATTTTGGATTTTTTATTTTTTATTTTTGGAGAACGAGGATTATTGGATAATAAATTTAATTTTCTGTTTTGTATTTTTAGATGTTTTTAAAATTTTATGTAAATTAAAAAAAATTAGTAGTATTTCAAAACATCAAATTTTATTCTAATGTTCAACTTTTTCTTTCTTTTTAACATATTTATCTCTAACAAATTTCTTTCTCACTCTAATTTTTTTATCTCTATAATATTTACTTATTATCCCTCCCCAAAATTTTTATCTCTCTACCTATATTTTTTCTTTCTTTTTTTATTCTAACATATCGTTCTCATTTTTTTCTCTAAAAATTTAATATTTTTCTAAACTTTTCTTTCTCTCAAATGTCATATTTTATAATTTCTCTCAAATGTCGTATTTTATAACATTTTTTCCTTTCTAATTTATTTTTTCTCCCCCAAATATATCTCCAATTTTTCTCTATCTTTTTCCTCTCTAAAATTTCTCTTTAAAGAGTCTCATTTTTTATCTCTAAGTTTTTACTTTCATACCTCTACATTATCTCTACATTAAGGATCACAAAAATCTTTACATGGTCGGGTTAGTGCTCCAAAAAATAGGGAATGCATTTTCCTCCCTATCCCGACCTTGACCCTAATTCTATTTTTCAAGTAATTAATATATATTTTATTAACTATTTTACTAAATTATGAATAAAATATTAAGTATTTTTTAAAACTAATTATTTGTACTAGTAAATAGTAATTTTTCAATAAAATGGATATAATTTATATATAGTTAGTCCTCTTTTTTGTAATTCTGAAAATAACTAAAATTAATTAATAAATCAATAATTTTTCTTGCATAAATCATCGTCCCCAATCGAGGATTCCTGGATCTGGATCTTGATTCCCAAAATCAAAAAATGAGGTGAAGATGAGAACTAAGAATTTTTGCGAGGACAAGAATGTGGAGAGCATCCTGACTCCCACCTTACCCCATTGTCATCTCTACTTAACATAATTCTTTTTCTATCTAGTATATCTTTTCAACTCTATGACTTTTTTAAAAATTAAAACCAAAATGGTTACTAAAATTATTTTATTTTCCGTTTTTTAAAACAATTATCAATTTTTATTTTTTAAAAATAGAAAACTATAAATCATAAACAAAGAATAGAAAAACCAAAAATAGAATGGCCCTAAACCTTCTAACACTCTTTGCTAAGTAAGCAACTTGGTGTGTTAGTATCCAACTTAGGTTATGTTTCATTTTCAGTCATTGAATATACTTGGAGTACAGTTGTTTTTTAAAATTGTTTTTGAATTTAAACAGTGAAAATTCTAAAAAAATAACATTTCGTATTTTAAATTTTTAAAATGTAAAATGGTAAAAAAAGACAAAAACTTTGACCAATATTATATTCTAGATTATAAACTCATTTTTAAATTAAAATATTTATGATATAATATAATATATATTTTATATACATTATAAAATAATAATTACAAGAATTGATAACGTAAAATATTTAATAAATTAATTAATAATATTTGAGATTCAACTAAATACTTAGCCAGTGATAATATTACCATTGTTTTCATTGTTTATGAACATATTACTAAACATATTTTTAACCATTTTTTAAATTAAGATTCGAATTTTCAAAATTTGCTATCAAATAGATATATAGAGACGATAACCCTATTGAATTGGCTAATTGCTATTACTCTTTGTTCTTAATTTTTCTGATTCACATGAAGATGCTCGATACTATGAGTGAATATATAGTTTTATGGTTATTACTTTTCTAAATTTTAAAATTTTTCGATTTCGTTGTTTCTAGAAACCGACAAAATTGATGCTGGTTGGTTTTGAAACCTAGAGAGGGAGTGAGAGAGGAGACATTTTTCTATTTTTCAAAAAAAAAAAAATTATAAAAAGCTTATGGGTGGATAATAAGAATTTCGAGAGGAACGAGAGAAAAAAGGAGTAATAAAAAAATATTTGATAAAATACAAATTTGGTGCGTATACTTGTTCGTTTTGTCTCTATATTTGATTCATTTTGTACTTAGAAAAAAGGCTTTTATTCATTTTTTGATCCTATAATTTAAAAAAATCTATTTTGATGTCTTCATTTTATTTTTAATCTCATTTTTCCTAGCTCAATTTTACATAACATTATGATTATAATTTTTATAAAGAGGTAAACCTTACTTTTTACTAAAAAATTTTCGTTATGGGTATAATTTGTATTAAAATTTTTAGAATAATGACTAAAATGATCATTTTTTAAAAGCGCAAGAACTAAACATTTTCAAATATAAAGATTAAAATGGACCAAACTTTTTTTTTCCTCTTTTTGTAGTATAACATGTGAGGATGAGAATTCAAACTCTCAACCTCGTGATTGGATACATAGAAACTAAAATCTAAAGCTGAAAGTACGGGCCCAAAATAGTATTTTTTTTCCCATATTGCATAGTACAAATAAATTTTAATGTCATCCACCATATGGTTTCACAATAGAATTTACATAAAAATCATTCTTCCAAATTCATTACTATGGGACTTCTGACAAAATGCTTCCCATCAGACCATATCAATGTCCCGAACATAGAGCCTTCCCGTTTCCCTTTTCCTTTGTACTGAAATACAACCTTGAAAGCCTTCTCTTCCCCCACACTACTGAACTGCAGCGTACTCGGTTCGACACTAATCGACACTTCTGGGTGCACCTTCACCCGTGCCACATACGTGCCTAGACTTCCCACATTCTTAACTCTTCTATTGACTGTCACCGGACCCATTGTCAGATTCGAAACCGAGATCGATGGGTAGTTGAGATCTGTGAGTTTGAATGATCTGTCACAAACATATGACTTTGCATAGAATCTTCTGATTTGCTTTGCAGTGTAGCCTCGAGCGCACAAGAAGTTCAAGTAGTCTTTGACGGTGGTATCATAAACAAGGCCGGGGTCCATTGCATCGTTAGGGTGTACATGTCCCGCGCCATAAGCAAATGGGGTAGCTTTGACTTTGGTCAAGTCGAGGATCGAACCCAAGTTGTTGTCTCTCGTTTTGGCTACAAGAAGGAGATGCCATTAATCTCTCGTTTTGACATCTCGAATGTGAATAAAAGTTGGGAAAGCACAAGCAACAAGCAACCTTACCAGTAGTCATAATAGCAGATTTGATGGCAGCAGGGCTCCACTGGGGATGAATGCTCTTGAGAAGGGCGGCAATACCGGAGATATGAGGGCAGGACATGGAGGTGCCAGAGATTACACTAAACGGGATGCGCCGTCGGTCGTAGCGGGAAGTGGTCGGGGCATTCCCGGAGGAGTAAGCGGCGAGTATGTTCACACCCGGTGCAGTAATGTCAGGCTGAAAACAGAGAGCAGAAACAGAGTTATATTTGAATGCGCTGAATCAGGGAGTGATCACAAGAACTGGGAAGCAGACCTTGAGGATAGACTTCTCTATTGCGTTGGGGCCTCTGGATGAGAATAAAGCCATGACTGGAGCTGGTTTAATCCCCAGCTCTGTCCTCACCTTCATTAAATGACCCACTGGGTTCCTAGTTTTGGAGGTGGACAAGGAACAACTTTTTCTTAGGAGATAGAAGAAACGAGAAAGCGTTTTTTTTTAGTACAACAAATGCGGGTTACGGGAATTTGAACGAACTGTTCTTTATGAATCTGATAGCTCTATGAAAATCAACTCCACAATTATTCAAAAAGCATCTGATAAATCAATACTCATCAGAACTCAACTACACAGAGCTACAGTCTGCAGAATAGATCTATGACAAAAGCCAAGCCAACATCCAATCCACAAGAAACCTCATATTATATGATATCAAACATCAAACATAAACTAAAGAGGTACTAATCCGTGACCAATTCTTCAAATTCATAGTTCGAATTCAACGAAATTAAAGCTTACAGAATTCTAATGAAAACATGTATGCTTTGAACGAATTGTTTTGGGAGAGTGAATAGAAGCAGACGGATAATTACCTGGTGGAATCCATGTATTGGGTGAGCACTTGGCGATCGCTGTATTTTACATCCGAAGCTGGAAGGAAGTGCAACTCAGGAAAAATGTCGTCCCCAGAATCCTTATCGTTAACCACAATCAGCCCCGCCGCACCTACTCGCATTGCCTCAATACCCTTTTCGAACCCTACAATCTCCCCTTCAAGGCAAACCAAGATCTTCCCCTTCACCTTGGCCGGATCTTGCGTTCCCTCGCCGCAGAATTGACTGCGATAAACGAATTACAGACTCATGATTATTGGAAAAAGTGTTGGAAACTATGAAGATTTCGATACTCACGCACGGTAATCGGTGACATTCCTGGAAATTATTCTTCCGGCCACGGAATCGATCAATGGATAGAACTTTTTAGGTAATGGAGCAACCGAAGCAAGGCTGGCGCCCTGGAATTGGTCGATTGAGGAATATAGGGTGCGTTAGGGCAGAAATTTGTAAATATAAAAAATTTGTCTGAATTTGAAACCCTACCTTGATGCGTTTCTTGTTTCCAAGGGCAATGTAACTGGCGAAATCTCTGTCGATGGTGCTGGCTGCGACGGTGAACTTCCAGGGCGCGACGTTGGAGACGCTCCCCGGATTAGGGCCGTCGTTGCCCGCGGAGAAGACGGTGACGATGCCTTGTTGCATGGCGTGGAAGGCGGCGATGGCGAGGGGATCGTCGGCGAAGTCTCGGACGCTTCCACCGAGGGAAGTTGAGATGACGTCAACTCCGTCAGCGATGGCGGCTTCGAAACCGGCGAGGGTGTCGGCATCGAAGCACTCTCCTTCGGGTAATGGAGGCCAGCAGACCTTGTAGGCGGCAACGCGGGCTCTGGGGGCGCCCCCTTTTGCCGTGCCGTTGCCTTGGCCAAAAACGTTGGCTCCGGGGACGAAGTTGCCGGCGGCGGTGGCGAGCGTGTGGGTTCCATGGCCGTCGTGGTCACGTACGGTGAGTGAACTCGGACTCAGTTTAGCTCCAGCGGCTTCGTATCCTTTGTAGAAATACCTTCCTCCAATAAGCTTCCTGAATTCCAAAAACTAAATTTAATTAAATCCCCAATTTAGACCAAATATTTCAATGGTTAATACTTGGTAAATTGCATCAACCTCACCTGCAATTATACCCCTAAACTTTCAATTATAAAAATTAGACCCTCAAATCTTCGTAAAAAGAAAAAAATAAAAAGAAAAAATTAAACCCTAAACTTTGGAAAAACTCTTAATCTTTCCATAAAATTGCACAAAACAATAAAAATTAAATACTAATTTTTTTTAAACGGTCCACCATTGCAGTCAGATTTGGAAGCTCTCAAGTATTTAAATTAATTTGTTGAAAACTTCGTTTGTGTGGGGATGCTAGAGCTTCTATTCATCAGGAGACAGAGTCTCAAATATTTCATCTGACACAATGTATTTGACGCTTGATTGAAAAATGTCAGAGAGAAAATCAAATTTTTGCGTGAAATTTGGGTTTCGAAAAATATTTTTAGAAGGCCAAAGATTTTGGCTGGAGTAGGCGGGAGCGTGCATCGGTTAGAGTTGTCGAGCTGTTGATCGAAGATAGATGATTGACAGATCAAACGACGTCGTCAATTGAGATGTTGAGGAACCAAACGGAGAACCAGTCGCTATGGGATTGGAACTTGGAAGCTGGAGAAGGCGGAGAAGTTTCTAGGCTTGGACGACGACCAAAGATGTGGGGAAGAAGAGAAGGAAGAAACATGATTAGGAATTTAAGCTGTTGGAAAAGAATGGTGATGTTAAAAGGGAGTTTATAGAATGGAGGAAGAAATTTGTTTAGTCATTCTCCATTGGATTGTCAAATTCAACAATTGTGATTAAAGGAGGAATCGACTTTTAGTGAAATTAAAATTCAATGAACATGAAGAAAATTTTCGCTCTGAAAATTTTTACTATTGAAAATTTAGGGGTTTAATTTTTTCTTTCATAAAAATTCGAGGGTTTAATTTTTACCATTGAAACTTTAAGGGTGTAATTGTAACACTTACTATAGTTCGAGGGTGGTTTATGCAATTTATCCTACTTTAAACTGATCTTAAGAAAAAGTTGAGGTTAAATTTTAAGAATTTATTTTTGTTTGTTGTCTTTCTTCTAAAAATTCGTAAAATATATTCACACCGTGTCCATTTTTAAACGAGGGGACGAGGGGTATTGTTATTTTTTAGCTTGAAAATTAACCTTAGCTTTTTTGAGAGAAATAACTTTTAGTCTGAGGTTTTAGATTGGTATCTGGTCCCTTAAATTTCAAAAATATTTTTAGTTTTTGAAATTTGGAATATGTGTTTATTTGATCTAAATAGACACTTTTAGTTTTTGAAATTTGAGTAAGGGGCTCTAAGCTTCTCATCTACAGCAACACTGTCGTCGACACTGCCAACTATATCTACCTTTGCCATTGCCTGCCTTTGTCGTGCTATCTCCGTCATCGTCGTCCCATTGTCCTGTCGATCTGTTGTCTCCATCGCCACACTACCATCATCATCGCGCCATCACCATGGCCACTAGAGGAGAGAAAGAGATCCCTCCGTCCCTCTTCTAGATCTAGAACAAGGGAGAGAGGGAGAGAGATCCCTTGTTGCAAATCTAGAACAACAGAGGGAGGGAGCTCTCTCCTTGGTTTTAAAAGCTCCCTCTCTCCTTTGTTCTAGATCTGGAACGACGTGGTACAACAATGGCGATGGGACCGTGCAACAAAGGTAGGTCGTAGTGAGGATAGATATGGTCGATAGTGCTGACGGCAATGTTGGTTTGAGATGGGAGAGAAATAAGATGAGAGAAGAAGGAAAGAGAGAGAACCTACTAATGGTAAGAGAAGCTTAGGAGTCATTTATAACCATTTCTTAAATTTGAAGGACTAATAGTATCTATTTTGAAACTTCAGTCACCAAATATGCATTTATTGCAAAAAAGATTTTATTTTGAAACTTTAGGAACCAAATAGACATCTACCTCAAAACTTAGGGACCAAAAATATATTATTCCCTCCTTTTTATCACAATTAGTTAAAATATATATAGAGGTTGGAATCTTTTCCTCAATTTCTATATATATATATTGTTGAATTTAAAAAAAAATGGTGAAATAGATTTTTGTTTATCCCATTATGTGAGGAAGAGGACAAATGTATATTGAACATAAGTATTTGGTTTTTGTGCCTCCTATTTATATATCAAATTAGTACCTCAAACTTCGGCCCACTATTTCATTGGGACACAAATAAAAGCTTGACTAGAATAATTTTCTAAAAGTGGAAGATTAAAGGTTTGTTTTTTTTTATTTTTAATTTTTAATTTTTTAAAACCAGATTATTTGGTAGCCAATTAAATTTTTTCTTTCTGATTTTTCAAAAACGATTTTAAAATTCTAGGTAGATTTCAAAAATTAAATAGAGTAGTTTTAAAAAACTGATTTATGGTTTTCAAAATCTACTTTTTTTCCTCTCATATTCAACTTTTTTTTATCGTATTTATCTCTAATAAATTTCTTTTTCAGTATAATAATTTTTTCTTCTTAAATTTCTCTCTATAAAATTTATTTTTCTCTCTAAAATTTTCATAGTTTAAATATTTATTATTATTTCTCTTTCTCCAAGATTTTTAATTTTATGTATTTTTTTATTTTTGTTATAACGTATCACTCTGATTTTTCTCTCTAAAAATTCAATATTTTCTCGAACTTTTCTCTTGACAATTTCGTTTTTTTAAATCTTTTCTTTTCCTTCTTATTTTATTTTTCCTCTGAAAATTATATTTTATTTTCTCGTTCAATTATCTTTCACAATAACTTTTATCTATTTTTTTATTTATTTATTTTTACTAAAAAGTATATTTCGAATCTTGTTTTTATTTTTAAATTTTTTTCTCACTATAATTTTTCTTCTTTCTAATTTCTTTTTTTTTCCTTTAACATATCTCTTCCTCACCACTTTATTAATTTTTTTTAAATATGTCTCTTTTTGTCTTTAAATTTTCTTTCACTAATTTTTTTTTTAAATCTCTTTCTTTATTTCTAGGTAGGGATGGCAAAAAAATCTGCAGGACCCGATCCTCGTGGGTACCCGACCCGATCAGGTCGGGAATCTCCGGTTTGACAGAGGATGGGGTCAAACCGTGGCGGGAACGAGAAGTATTCTCCACCCCGTTTAATATTTTATTACTTTTTCTATTTTTTATATAATAATATTAATATATATTAATTTTATAAATACTTTTTAATTTAAAAAAATCAAGCTAATATCTTATTTAGCCACTTTATGTTCATTTTTTATACTAGTAATAACAAAAGGTAATTTAAAAATTTTAAAATTAAAAAAAATATATATTTATAATAGGATGGGTTCCCCTGTCCCGAGTCGGGGAATCCCTACCCCCAAATTTGGTGGATGAGGGCAGGGATGAGGGAAAAAATCCCCAATGGGGTGGGGATGGGGATGGCCCCTGGCACTACTCTGTTGCCATCTCGACTCTCAAAATTTCCATAGGGTCAAGTCCTGCTCCAAGAATAGGAAATTCATGCCCAAACTTGTCCCCGATTCCATTTTTTTTATAATTAATATATATTTTATTAACATATTTACTAAATTGTAAATAAAATATGAAATATTTTAAAAACTAATTATTTATAATAGTTAATAATAATTCTAAAAATAATTAATATATATTTATTACACTTTTAAATTCTAAAAATAATTAAAATTAATTAGAAAACCAGTAATTTTTAACCAAATAAAGATTTTTTAACTTGGTTCTCGATTTTCGAACGGAATAAGAAGGTGGAGATGATAGACTAAAAATTTTCAACAAGAACGAAAGAGTGCAGCACTCTTCCCCCACGCTATTATCATCTCTACCTTAAATAGAATTCTTCTCTAATATATATTTTTTAATTTTCTAATGTTTTAAAAACATAAAACTAAAACTGGTTACCTGTTTTGTTTTCTGTATTTTAGAAAAAAAAAACAAAAAATAGCTATCAAAAACTATATGTCTTTTATTTTTTAAGAAAAAAAAACCAAAAACAAAAATCAAAAACCAAAAATAAAAACTAAAAATAGTTATCAAAACGGACCGGGCCTTAAACTATCATTACTTAGAAATTTAGGAGAGCAGAAGTTGGGGAAAAAACGTACCTATTGCAATGGAAGTTGAGGTAGGTTTGACACGTGCCCTTCCACCTTGATGGGATAGGTCCAAACCCTTCGTCACTAAAACTCTTTGATTCCGGCCAAACACCTTCACATTCCCAAATTACCAATTAATATGATCAACATAAAAAAAGAGGTGATATGAAAAATCTTCAACCAATTCTAAGAATATTGGTAATGTAAACAATATGGTTCAAACTAAATAATAGTTCATTTCAAAATAAAAAATGGATCGACCTGTTCTTTGAACATCTACGGTGACTGTTGAAAGTTTTTTGGCAAAAACTCTATTAAAAAATTAGTAGTATATATACTCGTATTAATAGTATATCAAATAAATATCACATACAGATTGCAGAGACACTCATACATACGTATATCAATAGTCAGATATATTACATGTGTATATCATTTGGGTAAAGTCGTCATTTTAAAACTGGACCCCATTTTTTTTTTTAAAAAATGCTATATTTGAAAAAAACTAAACGTGATTGCTATTTTGCTAAATATTTTTGGCATATTTGCAACTACCCATTTTAATTATGATTTAGAGAGGAATTTATGATGAAGTTAGAAGTTTTACGTGGATGATATGTATACTCTAAGGACCCGTTTAGTAATGTTTCTTTTTAGAATTGTGTGACCGATTGAGTAACGTGTAATATAGACTTTAAGAAAGGGATAACGTAAATAAAACCTGTGTCGATGTTGGCTACAATTATATCTTGACCAAACTTTGCAGCGTTCCAAATAGAGTTTGGAGGAGGAACTCCTTGTGCATTCTCCATCCCAAGAAAGTTCCATGAGTGTGTCGTGTGCAATTTTCTTGCCCGGTTTTCGAACACCGATATCACCTGTGGGTTTTCTGCAACGTTTTAAACAACATTGCTTTGAAAACGTAATCAACAAGCGTTTCATAAAACGGTTTAATTATGTGCTTGATGAGAGTCGTTAGTGAACTTGTAGCTAAAGACTTTATTAACTCTCACGTTTCTATTAGATCAAGAGACTTAACAAGATTTATAAGCTACTATTCTTATTCTTATTGGGAGAGTACAAACTCAAACAAGCATTCAGTTAAAAAAACCGCCTGTTATAAGATTTAAAAATTAAAATGGTTATGAGAAACAAACATGATGACTGAGATATTTTTACTCGCAAGACGTGCTGCTACATTTTCATCGAGTGTTGCTGCAAAACCATTGAAACTTCTAGTATAGGAGTAGAAAATTGATTCCTCGGCTATCTTTTTACTGTGACATGTGGAAACAATTGAAGAAATTAGTTAATTAGAAGAGAGCAGGATCTAAATATACACACTCAAGAAAAGAAGTTGCATAAATTATCATGCAGTAGAAAAAGTAAATGGGTAGAAATATACTTTGACCTCTGAGTTTGAGGATAAATTCTATTGGATCCTTGAAGACTCGTTTGGTAACGTTCCCATTTCTTGTTTCTGTTTCTTTATTTTTAATAAAGAAAAATGAATTGTATGGTCCCAATATCCATGAATTCTAGTATGATAAAATAATATTTTTTATTTATGTTTTGGAACAAATGAGAAATGACAACAAGAAATAAGAAACTTGTTTTGGTTGTTTCCAAAATTTCTATACAATTTTGAGAATGTTCCCAAAAAAAAAATGACAAACAAGAAACATAGGGCCCGTTTGTTAATTTTCTTGTTTCTCGTTTCCAATTTTCTTAAGAAATCTAAGTATTTTACAACAAACTTTGTTTCTTGTTTTTCTCCTTTTTTTTGGGATTATTCTCACAATTGTATAGAAATTTTGGGAACAACCAAATTTCTCTTTTCTTGTTCTTATTTCTAATTTGTTCCAAAACATAAATAAAAACATTTTTTTATCATACTTGAATTCTTGGAGGTTGAAACCATGCAATACATCTTTCTTCATTAAAAATAAAGAATCAGAAACATTAAAGAGGAACGTTACCAAAGAGCCCTAAGTTTTAGGGTTTGGTTTCCAACTTTTAGAAAATGATTCTAAAAGGTCCACAAAATCAAAATGTCATTAACCGAATGGTGACGTGGAAGTTTATGCATTTAGTTTAAACCAGGGTAGCATTTGACCCTTAAAGCGGAATCCATAAATCAAATGTTTGCTTTTATTTGTTTAGGTCCTATGAGTATCATTATTCAAAAATCATACAAGAATGGTTACCTTCCCAACAGAGATCCCAACAAATTATAATGAGATGCTGTTAGCTGTCGTGAATCCAATAAACTTGTTGAAGCAAGGGAGGATTGTGACCCCAAATAAACAATGTAAGACTGCACCCACCATGAAAAAAGAAACAAATAATCAAAAAAAATAAAAATAAACATAAAAATTTGAGAAGAAAAAAAAATTATAATAAAGCACAAAAAATTTCCAAAAGTAAACCTTTTTGTCAATGGCAATGGTGGAAGTTTGCAATAGGGAGAGGAGAAAGAAGGCTAAAAGCAATGGAGAAATATTAGAAGCCTCCATTGCTTTGCCTTGAAATGCTCTTTCGGTTTCAAAGGGTTTTTGTAATATGGAAAACCCTAATTTTAGTCATAAATTTTACCTTTTTTCTTACCATATTTGGGGGAGTGCTCAATATAGCTCCTCCAATCTTTAGAAAAAGAAAAAAAAAAAAAGAAAAAAACAGAGAGAAAAGGCAAATTACTAACTTTTGAAATCTTTGATTCAATATAATTAGTTAGAAAGTTCTTTGTTTGGTTGGGTAAGTTCATTCTCTAAAATATTTGCAAAGTCTAGGGCGTGGTATGATTGTTTTGACAAATTCTTCTCATCGTATCTACCTTTAGAGTATAGAGTTATAGTGAATTTATCTGAATTAGTAGAGGTTGGTCACCTACATGTAAAGTTTGGAGGATTATTTGGGTTGCATTTATATCTTTTGGAGAGAACATAAATCTAGAATCGATAGTGGTATTTATCGTCCGACTTTAGTTATTTTATAACTTGTTCAGAGTGATGTTTATACTCGTACTATCAGAACGGGATAGTTTTCATTATAGAGGTCGAACTTTGATGGGGTCTGCTTGGGAGTTATTTTCATAACTGAGTTACTTTTAATAACTATGTTATTTATGGTTGCGGGGTCTGCTTGGGAGTTATTTTTAATAACTCTGTTATTTATGGTTGTGTTTTTGCGCTGTTTTTTTTTTCTTGTTTTGTTTTGTTATATTGTCATTCTTGTTCGTGTTTTTGCTACATCTTTATTATCTGGTTTATTTGTTCCCAACGTGTTTTATGCTGTGAGATTCTTTTTTCTTTTTTTTTTCTCTCTCGCTCTATACCAAACAAGTGCAACAAAAAACATGTATTTTTCTTTTTATCAAATGTCATCGTTTTCATGCGTGAAATTTGAAATATCTTATCTTTTTTTATAGTCGGACATCGATTTAAAATTTTTGGTCTCATTGAAAATATAATTTGATGTAGTTGATAAATTAAATAATTAATTTATATAGGTATAAGTTTTATTATTGAAACGTATTACTAAAATAATAAAATTCTTGATATGTTAGATAAATTAGAATCGTGTCTAAAAAGAAAAAAATTAGATTGTTCATGAAATATTTAATATAAAACTATTTATTTAACTTTTTAAAATTATATTCGATAACTGACATATATCTTCAACCAAGAAGTTGTAAGTTCGATCCACCACCCACATACTGTACTAAAAAAGACTTTTTAAAATCATATTCGATGATCCTCAACTTCTAATCAAATTAATCTGAACAAACTATAATGGGATGAACTTTTTTCCGGCAAAAGATTAACTTAATTTCAAATAGAAGCTATTTAGGCCGCCAAAAACTTTGAAGTGATCCTGAAAAATAATTCTTCTTATCCCACAATTCAGAGGGAGTTTTCTCTTGAATTACTTTAATCAGACACTAGTTGGATATAAGAACTATAAGAACTGTTAAATAATTTTTGACAAGTTTACTCCAAAAGTTTCTAGAAACCACTAAATTAAATATTTTGCCAAATCTTGCTCAAGAAGCTTCCTTAGGGATTGAAGTCACTAAAGCTATTAGGCCGAGAAGTATGTTTGGGCTATAAATAGGTGGGTAACCTATGGTTGGCAATCCATCTCAAAATCATTAAATTCAAGTGAGCTATAGTGTGAGCCTTGTGAGATAAAATAGAGAAAGTTTCTTCTTATAAGAGAATTGTGTTCTCTATAAGAGAGAAAATTTGTAATACTCCAATTTTGTCGAGTGGAATTCTTCTATCCTTACCTGTGGTTTTTGCTTTAATTTGTTTAGGGGCTTTCCATGTAACTTCATTGTGTCTTATTCTTCCCCTTCTTCTTCCTCATTACTTCTTCACAATCTATTTTAGTTGTGATTCTACTCTATCTAGTTCTAATCCTTTTTTCAACACGTGATATCAGAGCATGGTTTTAAGTGTTAATATCTACTTATCGTATGCTATGTTGTTGACACTAAAAGTGTATCCTTCGCATAAAAAATAAGTTAGATATCTTTCACTTTTATTGAAAGGATGAAATCCGCTCCAGAGCTAGGAGTTCTATGTCTAGGTTGAGGGTTGAGGAGAGTCCTTTTAGTTAATCTTAGCTGCTACCCACCCTACTTATCCCAGCTCTAAAGRCAGCTACTGACTCGATAGCTCAAGTTGAGTCGACTGTGATTCTTCTTGTTCCGCTGTGAATGGTCTCGTTATCGTATTCAGTCGTTTTCCCGGCTTCCGTACCTTCTTCTTAGTCTTCGACTTTCACTGGATTCACTACTCTAAGTGAAGGAACCGTGGAGAACTGATTTCAAGATTGAGAAGGCGTGGAGAACTGATTTATTGAAAGGGTGGGGCCCCTCGTAGTTTGTGATAGAAGTAAACGTGGCAAATTTCGAGATTGAGAAGTTCAACGAGGCTAATTTCTCGTTATGGAAGTTGAAGATGAAGACTATCTTGGGAAAAGATAATTGTCCTGTAGTCATCAGTGAGAGGTCAGTAGAAGTCACAGATGACAAGTGGAACGAGATGAACGAAAATGCTATTGCAAATCTTTATCTGGCACTAGTAGATAAAGTACTGTCAAGCATAGAGGAGAAGAAAACTATGAAAGAGATTTGAGATCATCTCATAAAGTTGTATGATGCCAAGTCACTTCACAACAAGATTTTTCTTTGTATACTCTTCAGATGTCATAATCTATTCCAATGACATGGCACGTCAACACAATGAATACTCTATTTTCTCAACTCGGATCATTGGGTTGTAAAATAGAGCCAAATGAACATGATGAACTTCTACTTCAAAGTCTTCCAGATTCGTATGGCCAACTAATTGTCATCAACTGACAAATAATATTCTCACCGACTATCCTGGAAGAGGGAAATCGATGCAAGAACAAAAAGATAAGTTAGCGAATTCACAAGGAGAGGCTTTAGTGGTGACAAGAGGCAAATCAATAGAACGTGGCTCAAGTGAGAACCAAAATTAAGAAGTAAGAAGAACATGAAGTGCTACACTGTGACATGAAGTGCTACACTGTGGCAAGAAGGGTCATTTGAAGAAGGGTCATCTGAAAAAGGGTTGTTGGAATCCAAGTAAGAAAGATTCCAATCCTTAGGGAAATGTAGCAAGCACCTCAAATGAAGGCAATGCATTGTCTTGTAAAGCAGTGATAACTATTGAAGGCAGAAAGAGTTCAGCTGATGTATGATTTATCAACTCAGGAGCCAGTTATTATATGACCTCTCAATGATAATGGTTCCATCATTATGAGCCTGTCTCTGGAGGATTTGTGTTCAGCTGTAATGATCATGCCTTGAAGGTTATCGATATTAAAACTATCAAGTTGAAGTTCCATGATAATACAGTTCACACAATTCAACAAGCGCGACATGTAGAACGCCTGGCAAAGGTTATCATTGAGAAGGAATCATGAAGGTGATTCGACGTGCGCTTACTCTTATGAAGGGAGAAAATGTGGCTACAAACTTTTATATGCTGGAGGAAGGGACTACAAGAAGAAGAAGCATTAATTGCCTCGAGAAGTCCAAGTGAAAAGCTCTCGATGACCTGGCAACAGAAATTCGGACACATGTTGGAACAAGGAATGAAGGTTCTTGCAGAGCAACATCTACTCTCAAGGCTCAATAAGGTATCTCTACCCCTTTGTGAGCATTGTATTACAAGTAAGCAGTAAAGGTTAAACATCAATATATCAAATTCTCGAAGTAAAGAGATTTTAGAATTGGTTCACTCTGATGTATGTCAAGCACCGGTTACAACCTTGGGAGGAGTAGGGTACTTTGTCCTTTATAGATGACTAATCCAGGAGGTGTTGGGTGTATCATATCAAGAGGAAGACATATGTGTGTTTGGTCTTCAAAGTATTCAAAGCGTAGGTAGAACTTTAATCTAACAAGATGATGAAGTATTTGCGGACAGAAAATGGAGAGGAATATACCAGCAATGAGTTTGCGAAATTCTGTAATTAGAAAGGCATCAAGAGGCATTTCCCTACTGCTCAAACTCCTCAACAAAATATAGTGGTAGAGCAGATGAACAAAACCTTGTTGGAGAGAACAAGAGCAATGTTAGCAACTACAGTCTTAGACAAAACTTTATCGGCAGAAGCAGTCAATATCGCCTGTTATATAGTGACTCTTGCTCTATCGACTTGAAGGGATGTGACTCCCGGAGCGGAAGCGGATCTTCGTTGCTGATTTTCGGGATACAAAATCGAAATTTAAAGAAGAAAAATACAAAGGAAATTTCATACCTTTGAAGAACGTTTCTTCAACAAATTTCCGACGAACACCACCACCGAGCCTTCCTCGCTATCCTCTGGGTACGAGATCGTTCTTGTGGGAGAATTTCTTTGGAACGAGAGGGAGAGATGAAGAGAACTCTTGAGAGAATTGGTGGGAGTTTTCCTTGGTACTGTTCTGTTCTGTAACAACCTCTTCTTTTCCTTCTCCAACACTTGGAGAAGAAGAAGAAGGGTGACGTGGGGTACGTCACAACACCTCCGATATGGAATAAACATTGTGGAATACATAGCGTTATGGGACCGTTAGTCCAATACATAGCGTAAGGGTTATTAACATTGTGGAATAAACTCCGATATGGGACACCAACCAGTCCTAGATCTACAACAGTCACACTTGATTCTTTCATATTAGTGAGCCCGAGCACCCCTATGACCTCAGATCTCCCGAGCACCCCTACGACCTCAGATCTGTATTATCGAATTCTTTCAACATTAATCCAGTGATAACCCAAGCCTTTTTAGTAAGGGTAGGTAGGTAATGACCCAATTAAATCTCTTTTTGGTTTGATTTAAGTATTATGAACTGAACTATGACCCTTTTAATCGTCTTCTTTTAATACTATTTTTGATATCATTCTTCTCTATGATTGTGATTTGATCTGAAACCTTATTGTGAAGATTCTAAAAACATCTACGGAGGTGGTGTTTATGATTTATTAGAAAATGA